CATGCTCCTAAGTGCCGAACAGAGCTCTAGGAGCAAGCACTCAACATAACAACCCTCTAAAGCGAAGGGAGTGCAATCATCCACCCTTAAGGATCAGCATACTCAGTATGAAGACCCTCAAGTGAGGGGAGTACCAGACTCAAGAGCAGCTGATCAGGGAGGCTCACAGAGAGCCTCACAACCTGAAATAACTGCAAACAAAATACTAGGGAGCAGAGTGCTCAGCATAACTCTCTAGGCGAGAGGAGCAAAGCCCATGCTCAACCTAAATCCAATAAGTTAGATATCAGAGGTTTTCGGCATTGAACTACAATCGATATCTCACATTATACACAGCTCCTATTCTGTAAAATAAATAGAAACAAAAAAAGGAATTCTGAAAGCGAAAGCACTCCTCATCAGATTCCTTCCATGCCCTGCCTACTATCTCCGTGGTTGGTCTGACTAACTGCCTCGGCAGCCGCAAGACCTGAAACGCGGGTGAGAGGCGCTCAATTATCAAAGAGAATCAAGCATACTTCAAGGCATCAAGGCATTCTCAACGCGATCACATCTCACAGTGTGGCTATATCTACTTCGAGAGCCAAACACACTCTGTTCAAACACTAAGTTCCCTCAGGAATCAGGCAAGAACAGAAACCACCGCGAATGCATCGCATTAAGCTCGTTCAACTCCCTGGAGAGGCGAACGCGCTCGCGCAAACGCTGACAAAACTCGAGTACAGACCTCTGCTCTAGTAGTCTTCTTGTTCGCGTTCTTGTTTACGTCATAGGCTGCCACGTGCCAATGTCAAGTTCATTGTCGTTTTTTCATTCATGCTTCAGACACCGGTCACGCTGAAGGCGTTCCACTAGCGCCTCCCTTTCGAAAGGGAACTTTGCTTTATTTTTTTGTAGATGTGATGCTGTGGAATATGACAGACATTTGGAAACAGAAGACACAATATATTTTACCTGTACTATAATTTTTTCATTAATAACTGCTTGGAATGGCAGGGACAGAAGCACACAACTCACACTTACACTCACACTCTTACATACTGAGCACATACATAGTGAGCACTTTTCCTTTGCCGAGATAATCCATCCACCTCACAGGTGTGGCATATCAAGATGCTGATTAGAAAGCATGATTATTGCACAGGTGTGCCTTAGGCTGGCCACAATAAAAGGCCACTCTAAAATGTGCAGTTTTACTGTATTGGGGGGTCTGGGGGGTCCGAAAACCAGTCAGTATCTGGTGTGACCAACATTTGCCTCACGCAGTGCAACACATCTCCTTCGCATAGAGTTGATCAGGTTGTTGATTGTGGCCTGTAGAATGTTGATCCACTCCTCTTCAATGGCTGTGCGAAGTTGCTGGATACTAACACACTATCACTAACACAGATATAGACAGATTTGTGAACAATATTTGAGAGTAATAGGCCTTTTGTGTACATAGAAAAAGTCTTAGATCTTTGAGTTCAGCTCATGAAAAATGGGGGCAAAAACAAAAGTGTTGCGTTTATAATTTTGTTCAGTGTATGTTCTCTGACCTCTTATCACCCCATCTTAGTGTGGAGGAGACGGTTAATATTTTTTTATATATTAAACATTTGTAATGCTTGGATACATTAGATCAGGTGGTGCCTCTAAGGCAGGTGCATAGAAAGCACAAATCAGCTCCATGGTTGAATGAACATATCAGGTCCCTAAAAAGGGAATGTAGAAGATGTGAACGAAAATGGAAGAAAGTTAAGATACAAATCTCTTACGAAATGCTGAATGAAACGCTGTCTAAATTTCAACGAGCTGTGAAATTTGCTAGGACAAGCTACTTCACAAATATTATTGAGAAAAATCGCCAAAATCCGAGAGTTCTTTTTTCAACGATTGACTCTGTTCTGAACCCTAAATTAGAGGTGTCTGCTGATACATCTGTTGAATTATGTGAAAGCTTTTTACAATTCTTTGTCGGTTGAATATCATAGGTTCAAAATAATATACAGCAGTGTACATATGTGCCTTTGACTGCACCAGAAACCCCTGCTATGCTATCTGAATTTGAACTATCTCCATATCCACTGTTAATGACATTGTTTCTAAGCTGAAGCCTACATTTGCTCCTCAAGACATTATTCCGACATCTATGTTAAGGCAAATCATCGAAACGGTCGGTCCATATATAGTTTCTATAATAAATAAAAGTTTTATTTCCGGGATCGTGCCCGATTACTGTAAACACGCTGTAGTTCAGCCCTTACTGAAAAAAATAAAATCTGGATAAAAGTGTTCTCTGCAACTATAGACCAATCTCTACATTTCTATTTCTGGCCAAGAGTTTAGAGAAAATGTTCTTATTCAACTGGAGTCATTCCTTGATGAAAATTATATTTGTGAAGTATTTCAGTCAGGTTTTAAGAAGCATCATAGCACAGAAACAGTATTATTGAAAGTTTTTAATGATATTGTTTGGCAACCGATCAAGGGAATATGACTGCACTTTTGCTTTTAGATCTTACAGCAGCATTCGACACAATTGACCATCATATTCTCATCTCACGATTTGAAACATGTGCTGGCATCTCTGGAAATGCCTTAAATTGGTTGAAATACTATTTGTTAAATAGAAGTTTCTCTGTTGGTATGGGTGAGTGTACATCAGTTCCATCACCTTTATCATGTGGTATTCCTCAAGGGTCTGTGTTGGCACTGCTTCTCTTCTCTCTCTATATGCTCCCATTAGGTTCGATTCTGCATAAATACAGTGTGTCCTTTCACTGCTATGCAGACGATACACAATTGTATGTACCATTTAAGTCAAATGATTCTACTGCCATGGAAAGATTGTTGGCCTGTCTGAATGATGTCAAGGCATGGATGTCTGTACATTTTTTGAGCCTAAATTAATTAAAAAACAGAACTGATTATTTTTGTTCCCTCTGAACTGAACTTTTTAGCGCACTAAAATTTGACAAGCAGATAAATTAAATTGTCAGAATGAGTTTTTTCAAATTGAGGATGATCTCTCAGATTAAGCCTTTTTTATCCCAGAAAGATTTGGAAAAAGTTATTAATGCGTTTATCGTCTCAAGATTAGATCACTGCAATTCGCTATATTATGGTGCTCAAAATAATGTTTTAGACAGACTGCAGATGGTCCAAAATGCAGCAGCAAGAATGCTCACAGGCACTTGTAAATTAGATCATATTACCCCAGTGTTAAAATCATTGCATTGGTTGCCTGTTTCTTTTAGGATTAATTTCAAAATTGTATTGTTTGTATTTAAACCTCTACATGGCTTAGCTCCATCTTATATTGCTGATCTAATTCAGGAACAAAAGCCAATAAGATCCCTACGATCTCAATCACAGAAACTTCTTGTTGTTCCTCGGTCTAAGATGAAATCTAGAGGAGATCGCACGTTTGCGGTCGCTGCCCCTAAATTATGGAACAGCCTGCCGTTATATATTAGGGACGTACCGACGCTCTGTCAGTTTAAAAGCCACTTGAAAAATAGTTTTTTTATGATAGCGTTCGAACATAGATAAGTGCGAAGGTTGCTAGTACCATATATGCCTCTTCTGATCCTAGTTAAGATGTATTTTGATTGTCTTTTTTAAGTTTTTTTTTTATATTACTTATATAATTATATGGATGTGATCCCTTTTAAAAAGTTATCTTCTGCTCATTGTGTTACTGTTTGTACAGCACTATGGACAATGTTGTTTTATTCAGTGCTTTAGAAATAAATTAAATTTTAATTTCTTCACGGAAAATGAGCAAATGAGTCTGAGTTTGAAAAAAATAATAAAATATATTCTTTTGATACTTTTGATAAAATGACCTGAACACCATACAAGGGTTAAAGCAGGTTTGATTTTTTTTCCGGTAACACTTTATTTCGATAGTCCACTTTAGACATTCTATTAACAGTAAGTAACTTTGCAACTACATGTCAACTAGTAGTTAGTAGAGTATTAGTAGACTGTCTGCTTAATATCTTCTAACACTTTCTTTGTCAACTTATTCTACTAACCCTAAACCTACCCTAACAGTCTACTCTGAGAGTTAGTAAACATGTAGATGCAAATGAATGAGAATTAGTTGACATGTAGTTGACATGTAGTTACAAAGTTACTTATAGTTAGTAGAATGTCTAAAGTGGACTATCGAAATAAAGTGTAACCTTTTTTTCTTATCAGTCTGTATTCACAGTAATTTCACTATCCACTCGGTTCACTTAGAGGTGTGCACACTGCCAGAGAGCTGTGTGAGATCACTACTTGCTTTTGTGGGGGTACATAGAGGTGTTTTTTGGTCAACTTGTTTAGTTTCTATAGGTTTGTAAAATTCTTAAAGCTCTTCATTCCAAAGATACTACAAGCTAGTCTGTGTATTCAGTAGGTGTAATGTATTGTAAATTGCTTCAGATTTATAAGGTATTGAAAGTATTATATACAAAAATAACAAAACATTGTATAGTGATAAAAAAGGGAAATTTACTTTTGGTACTTAAGTTTACAGTTTGAAAAGTTGTTTTATAGATTTGAAATGTGCTTGAAATTTGAATGCCTTTTTTTAATGCTTACAGTGTGGTTTAAAAAAAGTCATTTTTTATTATGAAAAATAACCTTAATGAAAGATGTTGTGAATCCCTAGTGCATCATGACAGAAGTGCACGTGAGGGATTGGCATCCAAAAATGACAGCTGTCTGGCATTTTTCTCAAAATGCAAAAATGAGACCTCTGAGTTTGCACACACCTTTTCAGAGCCGTCATTTTCTGTCTTGATGAAGGAGTGAATGATAAAGTTCATCTTCACACAGGTGAGTAAATGTTAGCTGGATAATGAGACTCTATTCATATACACTCCTGAACAAAATCTTAAGACATTAATGCAAAACATTACAAGTATTCGCATTTCACACTGGTGGATCGTAACCAGGTTGTAAGTACTGCTTCAAAATGCCAAAAGAAGAAATAGGAGCAAGAGACAAAGAAAAAGGACATTTATTGAAAACTGCATTTAAACTCAAACAGGCTGTTCATCGACTGATCAACAAAATTCATCTTTGCCTGTACAATAACAACTGCATAAATTGTGTTGAAATTGTTTGATAAATAAAATTATGAATATAGAAATATGATGAAAAAAATAAAATTATACTTTTAAATATGACACTAAAACCGGCAGTATGCTAGGTGGCGGCAAATCCAGCACAACAGTATCAAAATAAATCACATTAGAAATACGTTATTAGAAATAAGAAATAAACCAAATTAGAAATAAGCCACTCAAATTCTCAGGTGCAACATATGCGAGAGCTTCAGTGTCTGTTGTGTATACATCAGTGGACCTAGAAATAAATGGTACATATTATGTTCATCATATGAACTAGATGCGTTATTTATTGCATTGTACTATTGTACTACAACACTAGCTAATACTACAATCAAAACGTTTATCTGTGATTAAAGAACAAATTCTCAATTATCTGTGTTTGGGGTCTCAGAGTTTGGGTTCAGTGCGTCTCGTAGCCTATCCAGAATCATCTGGAGCTCCTCTGAAGTCTCTTTTATTTTTGTCACAAATTTCATGGTCTCAGATTTCAGCTCTTCTGCTTGTTGAGTGTTTGAAGGCAGCAGGTTTGTTGTGTCATTGTTATTTGGTGTCCGGTCATTCAACCCAGTGGTTTGGTTGCTGGTGGATTCTTGACGACTCGATTTTAAAACGTAATCTCTGCGGATGTTGTGGATTTCTCTGGAGTCGAGAAAAACGAAAAATACGTCAACAGCTATGAAAAGTGCAGATAAAACCCCTGTAGCTGCTTCAGCCACACGAACTGCTCTTGCAGCCTGAGCTGCAATTTTCCCTATGTTTACGACTTGAGTTAAACGAAGAAGCTCCGGGATTCCTCCCAGTCCTCGTCCAAGTCGAGCTCCCGCTCTCATCCTGGATCGTGCATTGGAAAGTGATCCACTGCTTGTTGAAAACTCATTTTGAAGCGTTTCCACTGCTGTTGAGATGCTTTGGATGCAGCATATAATGGAGGTAATTTTCTCCTGGAACTCTGTTAAGATCATTTTAATCTTTTGTCTGTTTGTTTGCTGGTTAACCATGTTTGTTATGTTGCTGGCACCAGCTGTTATTCCACCAGCTACTGCCGTACCGATTCCCACACCGGTCACTATCAGAGAGGCTCCAAGAGTGAACGGAGTGAGAATAAGTCCAACTATAGATGTGATTCCTCCAGCCAGACCTACTACACCTCCTGTGAGACTGCTGACGGTTGTGTTGAAGTGGACCGTCTCCAAACCATCGGCCAGGTTTCTCATTACATCTAGAGTCTTATAAAGCTCATCAATAGTTTGTATGCTCTGAAAAATTACCAAATGGTTAAAATCAATGCCTATGTCTTAAAAACTGACTTTCTCATTTCATAAAAGTAAATTGTAAACATTAGTAAATTAGCTTACCATTGTATGAAGGTGTTCAATGATAAAAGGCCTCATCAAGATCTCATTGACAGATGGCCGGTGCTCTGGATCCTTCTGAAGTGTGTCTTTCACAAGCTGACGAAGATCCTCAGAAAAGGTGTTGGGAAGAGCTTCGTAGGAGCAGGTGAGTATCTTTGTGACAATCTCAACTGGGTCTCTTGCTTTAAACTAAGAGGAATAATGATAAGAGTTAACCAGTTTGTGGGATCTTAAAATAATGCATCAGTTCATACAACAACAACAAAAAAACACTTGTATGCCTATTGAGACAAAACAACCACCCATCCAACCACTTGAAAATATAATGTAATATTGTATAGATTATTGACTTTATACTGTTTTTTTTGTGTGTGAAATTATTGTACAATAATATCAATTTTACCAGCTAGATAACTTGTATGAATGATATCAAATGGTACAGTCTTGGCCTTTCTGAAAGCTTTACATTTCTGCAATATATTACAAAATCAATGCATTAAGTTATACGAAGGATTCAATTGAACCAAAATTCTTACCGCACACTTCAGCATGCACAGCTCATAGATGACACATCCCAACCTCCAAATTTCACTGAAAAAGAAAGTGAATATTATAAAGGATTTTCAATGCTTTGATTTGGAATATTCATATAGCAAGTTAATGTTGCAGTTCTGATATTACGTTTTCCCATCATACAGTCTGCCACTCAAGTTCTCAGGTGCAACATATGCAAGAGCTTCAGTGTCTGTTGTTTGTGTATCCGTGGACCTGGAAATAAATGGTACATATTATGTTCATTATATGAACTACATGCATTATTTATTGCTGAAGGGTGTGCAATGCATTGTTTTGAAGTACAGCTGCTCAATACCATTCATTAATCTCTCCAAACTCTCCCAGACGAATGATACCACATGCAGTGAAAAATAAGCTCTGTCAAAAGAAAACACATATTTTATATGTTTGTGGCCACTGGGAAAGAGTGGATTGCAATAAGAGTTAGTAACATCAGTCAAAATCAAACTATTCATACAGCCTCCAACTATTACATGGCAACATCTGAAATAAAATCGATTAATTGCAGACACTTTATTACTAAGACACTTCAGGCTCTCTTTCGATCTCTGTGGTTGAAACATAAAAATACAAGTAATTTGCAAAGGAACTTAATTAAATGTTTTAATAAGTTGCGCCTCAACACTGGTCACTGATAACAGCAAATCTGCATTTTTGTAGGCTTACCGGGGTAAAACAAGAAAATTATACAATGGGATTTTTTTTCCTTTACCATGTATTTTCTTTAATATATAACCGTACATAAATCAGTTTATCAGGTGACATTTTATACTTGTATTTTTATTTAGTGTTATCTAGAATTGATTTTCCAATACTGTCAGAAGTAGCTTTCAGACTCAATGAACTGAGTTACATTTGTACCTTGGGCTGCAGGTTTTTATGGAGGATCTGTTGATCATGCAGGTGCTTTAATGCCATGCAGATCTTCACAGCCCAGTCCAGAATCTGTAAATCAATAAAATGTGAATTTATAAATCAGAAAGCTTTGCAACAGTTTTGTACTTTTAACACATTCATTTTTATGATTAGTTTGAATAGAAAAAGCATCCAACATCCCATTGAATATTATCTGCATGAAGAGACCTATCACCAATGTTTTTTAATGCTTGTATTGCAGTGGTAATACTTCCTAACTACTGCTTTTCTGACCTGGCATGATAACCATGTTTCAATTTTCAACATGCTGTGAGTTTAAACAGTGGGTTATGTTGGGAACTAGTAAGTCATGGGTTTTACTAGCAGTTAATAGTATCATTATAGTATTAAATGGTGATGGTTTTAAATTTTACTATCTTTAAATCTGTAAAAAAATTACTGTACCTCATTCTCAGAAAATGTATCAGCTGCCTGTATTTTGTGTTTGATTTTCTGAGCAAGATCTCCACCCTCACAGAGCTCCAGTACAAGATACAGACAGTCAGGACCTGAAAGCAGATTCACTCATTACAGGATTTTAAATCATTAAAGGGATCAAACTACTGTAAATGAGAATACATATACTCCTATAACTTTAGATGTGTTAACAGAATTAATTTCAAAGTGAATTTAACCTGCAATGACTTCCTTGTGATGGACGATGTGTGGATGATTGAGTTGTAGGAGAAAGTTTAAATTATTTTCCTAAAAACAGACAGATACACGTGTATCAGAATTTCTCTCTCTTCAATAAACCTAAACTTATATATCATTTCAAACTTTACGTGTTCATCATACCTGTCCTGTGTTGAACTTTTTAATGACAAACTGATCGCCACCTTCATTTTTCACCAGGATCATCTGCTCATCTTCACTCACTAATGTGTAGCCGGGATATTTTATAGGAAACGTGACATGAAGAGTATGTGCTATTTCAGTGCTATTACAGTAATGTTGCTTTGGAAACCCAGCCTCTGTGTGTGTGTTTGTGTGAGAGAGAGAGAGAGAGTGTGTGTGTGTGTGTGTGTGTGTGTGTGTGTGTGAGAGAGAGAGAGAGAGTGTGTGTGTGTGTGTGTGTGTGTGTGTG